GATGATATGGCACTCTATGGGGAGAGAACTGGTACAACAAACCATACACTGACCAATGTTGATATGACTCATTTTGCCTGATCGTATCACAATTGAACTTTTAATAAACTTCACAAGCTTCTGTATTCTTATCTGTAACGTCATCTGTGAATGCGTAAATGTACTTTCTGTCAAGTCTATTTTGCATGGATTTTGTGGAGAATGACATGTATAAACATTTGTCATTAGTGTCTACAAGATATGTGCATGTGTATATAAACTTAGATGCCCACTGCACAAATGCAGGGAAAGAGGTACTTTAAACAGGGTACATACAAAGAGTGTGTCATGTATGTATGGTTTCCCTGGAGGGAAATCACCAATCGTCAATATTGACGTCAATACATGTGACCTAATTCAGGACTTGCTCTCTGGTTGCAAATATGGCCGTCAATATTCACGACCAAAATTCAGGACTTACTTTCTGGTTATGAATATTACTGTCAATATTCGCAACCAAAATTCAGGACTTACTTTCTGGTTATGAATATTACTGTCAATATTTGCAACCGAAATTCATGACTCACTCTTAAGTTGCAATGAAATTCCCAACTCTTATCTCCGATTGCAAATATTGCTGCGAATTTTTTTTCAAGCAAGCTAGGTGGAAATGAAGTGTTCACGGACAATGACCTACATTTTTCGGCTTGATCTCAACTTATTATTCGGCTGGGCAGTTTTCACACAAAGCAGGGGGCACAACATTAAAAAAGCAATTGCTGTGTCTAGAGCCGAGCAACTTCTCTCTCTACCCGGCTTGCTGGACAAAAAAAGCAATATTTGCGACCAGAGATAAGAGTCGTAAATTTGGTCACAAAAACTGACTTAGTATTCCTTGGGTCGCAAACAAAGGCTACATGCCTTACTTGGCATGCACAAGGGTTTATCCACAACGAACACAGGGCAAGGGTTCTCCCCCCTTTTCTCTGTTTGATGTAATCTACATTCAGAATTCACATCTTGGCACGAACAGAAAAAAGCCGTTTTAAGCTTGTTATAGTTGAGCTCTGAAGACAAAGGACGCTGTGTTCGATGTGGATGCTTCCATATTTATTGGAACAGATAAAATCAGAGAAAGCATGTTTTCCTTAGAGGTGCTCTTTAAATCTTCCCAAAATAAAGGGTGATAATTTTGTAGTATGTTGTCCATATTATTTCTTATATTCTCATGGCACTCAATTGCACAAATCAAACATCACACACACTTTCTTACACTTTCAGGTACATTTCACAATTAATCTCATGCTATTTACTGTCAGATGTAATGCACTCTCAATGCACATTAAGAATAGTTAGGCATGCAACTATAAAATCTGGGGAAATAGGATAAATGTTCATACAATTTGCTTTTGCCTCTTGTAAAGGCTCATAATTTTAAAGATTAAGACTAACAAGTCTAAATTTTTTTTCAACTGATTAATCATTCCTTAATGAATGACACACGACAGCTGATTTTTTCCGTACACAAGTCCTCACACACGTAGGTTTAATAAAGAGGCATGTTTGCTTTGAGATCATCAAAAAGCAGTATTTTTCTCTAAAATGGCATTTCATGGATGAAATGATTGGGAATGTGTCCTCTGACAGAACCCTTCACTTCGTTTGTTTAGAAGAGATGGTCTGAAGCTGGGTAGGGTATGAACACATATCTTTTACCCTGCACAAGTCTATTTTCATAACGCTTTGGGAAACATTTGTTCCTCTAAGGGCTCAATGATTTTCTAACTTTATGTTCTGCTTCCCATTTTTGATGATGCAAATTTCACTTACAATCACTACACAGGATAAAAAACTTTCCTTATTTTCATAACTCATCCATAATACCAGTGTGGAAAGGCTGCTATTTTCATCTGCCATGGAATGAGTGAATAAAACCATCCCATATTCTGACCAACAGTTACAAACTGTGGGGGAAATGCCAAGAGGCACTTATTTTGAAAGGCAAACTCACACATACCGGTGCCCTGCACTCTCTCTCCAATCTCACACACAAAGTACATGCATACCAGTGTTTTACTAGTGCATACAGATGTATGTACCATGCACATTGTATATGTGCCTGCTCTGTGTGACAAACTGTGCTCCAATGGCAATCAACAAAGCCAGAACCACTGGTCTCTATATGCAAGTGGATATTTCATGTGCTCACTGCCATACAAAAGTGATACCTCCTTGTCTCTATTTTATGGGCCTGCAAAAACCTGCCATCTGTTCAGTGCACTACGGTGTACTACTGTACAATTACACACGTATTTGCAGTTTTCCAGGTTTTTGTGTGGTACTGTTCGGCAATTAAATGATTTGTGGGTCAAAAATAGGAAATTTGTAATTAAATATATAACAAACTGTCCACAAGACAGTCCTGTAGCACAAATGATTTCACAGTCCACTGTGACTTATATCTCAAATCTAAAGGCCAGTCTCCAACACCTTTGCATTAGGTTTGGATCTCCAAAGATGAGTGACCTCAGACCCTCAGTCTTGACATGTTATCCAGTCTGTACAGAGAGACCATCGGCTTGAACACTGTGCTGGATGCCAATGCTAGTATTGTGAACTTACTGGTGCTTACAAGCATACCCACGAAGGCAGATTGTTGCTACATGTAGGTAATATACGGGGGCTCATACTGTAAAATCTCTCAGTAGTCTTCTGGGTATTTTATGAAGTAAGACTTTACCGTCCCAAAGATATACCACTTGTCCTCTTGGAATGAATTACATTTTGATCTATTTTTATTCAACCTAATTTACAATGTAATGCATTTGCAAGCGAATACTTCCAAATGAACATTACATTCATCGTCTGTACCTAACTTTTAATGTTACTTTTAATTTGAAAACACTGTTTGCGTGAACTTCGTATGGGTCATTCCATAAATCCAAGGTCCATTTTTGCTGTCTGTCAGGGTACATCTGGTGTATGATTCCTTAAGTCTTAGCACACATTCTTTAATTACCAAAAGCGACTAAGTAATGGAAATTACCAGACAAAAAAAACTTGAAGTCAATTTCAATGATATATTCATTGGCTAATTCCACAGGTCAGGTGTAACTGGGTCAGAAGAAATGTCAAGACACTGGACCCCAAGTTTATAGAATGACCCACGTATCAGCTCATTTTTGTATGTTGTGATGTCATTCCACCAGTACTGCTCAGGGATGGGCTTGTGTGAAAGAATTGAGATCCAGTAACAAAGTCAATCAAATGATTGACATGCCCCTAAAATTCAAAGGGCTCACAATGATTCGAATATCAATCTACATGTATACTGTGGTGTTTCATAATTACTAACCAGCAAGGAGGTCAGTACTGGTGGAAAAACATGATGTCAATTGTAGATGCACCATGTGATGAATGCAACTCAAATCATTGTGAAAAAAACAGTTGCTCCATAAAGTGAGTGCAATTATTGTTGGGGCCATTCTATTTCATGAATGCTACTCGTGTTCTGGGTATTCTACCAGTATTTCATGAATGTTGATGTCGCCTAAACATTTGCATAAAAGTTCTTGTTTCTGGTTTAAAAAACCCTTAACACTGCTTGAGGGGACTTGACTGAAGTGGGCAAAAAACCCACCAGTTATACTTCCGACTACATGCATTTCAAGATGAGTAAAGAGGCTGTAATTCTTTTTGGGGTGGGGGCTAAATTTTTTTGGTACTGACTGAATGGGGTACTCAATTATTTATGTAAATTCTAGCTTGGACTCTCCCCATTTGTACCATGCAAGCTGTAAAAAATGCCACCCAAAAAAGATAAAGACTTGCATTAGATAACCCTAACCCTCCTCAATCCTCCCAAATCCTTCAGGTGGTTTTGGAGGATTCTGGAAAATTGAGGGTGAATGGCAAAAGTGCATGGCTGATTGCGAAGGAAGCCATGCCTGAAGGTTGTGGGTTAGATAGCAGTTTTGTAATGACAGAAAAGATAACAGGATTTTTTTCTCAATAAACTTGCTGATAAATGGTTTGGGATCACATTGTAAAAATGGGTTGCTTGGATAATCGGAAGCAGAACTGGGGTTTTTTGGCCTTGGGACACCCTCCCCCCAACCCAAATAAACAAGAAAGGCATACAAATAAAATAAATGACTGACATCCAACATTAATAATTACTCTCCTTGGTCAAATATGGAAGAATGAGACAAGACACAAGAAAATGGAGGCATGAGGCAAATAACTGCACACCAAGAATCAGGAATTGACACGGAGTCGAGGCAAGAAATGGACACCAGAGTCTGGACAAACTTCACACATGACCCAAAAAGTATTATAATGCCAGTCTGAGTCACTATGGTGGTAAAGACCACCAGTCAGGACATTTGTATGACAAATGTTATTGCACTTATCAATCACTTCTACAAAGCTGAAAAGGAATGTGAAGTTTCAACAAATACATGTAACACTAATAAGGACTTGACCAAACCTACGCAAAATGTTCAAATCCCAACTTCGTATCTTTTCTCACTTCTTACATGTCCCTACTAAAATTAATTATATTCCTGCAGATCATTTCTTTGGAAGAACAATTTTCTGGGTGAAAATTTCACACTTAATTTCACGATGATTAAAGATGAAAAACTGACATTTCTGTTATACATTATGCATTACTATGGCAAAGCTTCAAACTGATTCCCTATTTTCTGAACTTTTCAGGATTAAAGAGTAATTGTTTCCTCCGGTTGAAAATCAGTTATTCAATTACTTCGTCACTCATGGAAATGGTTTGTTTTACTGCATTTACTTACTTCCCTGGCTTGACATCAACAGAATTTCTGAAATAGCAAAGTGTTAATTCCAAAGCAAAACATACAGGTGTGTCCAATAAATGCATCTTTTGAAACAAGACACATTGGATTAAAGTTGATCCAAAAACGTCAGTGAAAACAACATTGAGTTTTTTGATGTGAAAGGATTAAAAATGAAGAAATAAAAGAGATAACAAACTGTGATATGACCTCTTGTTCAATGTACATCTTCCAGTAGCGTCCTGAATTGGTGAAGGTAGCTATAAGAAGCTCATAGAGAGGACGGGCTTTATCCACCGGCTGACTCTGTGTGGAGACATCAAAGAGGAAATAAAAACCGAGATTGGAGACTAATTGACATGTACATGGGATCCAATGGTCTCTCGCGTGTAGCTTTACACTGGTCAGTCTACCAGATGCATTAAGAGTTCCAAGCATTCTACGACACCATGCACGATATGGGACGGAGGGGTACCCCCCCCTGGTCCAATCCCTATACACACTCTAGACTATTGTTACCTAACACATCCCCTAGAAGTCTGTAAAGAATTCCTGAGATTCCGATCAAACACTGACCAACACAAAGGGGGGGTGCTCTTCGTCCCATATCTTGCATCCTATGCATTCTACAAAGTACAAAAGAAGCAACTTTGAATGACCAGCGCATGCCTACATGTCTACCTGTTTCTTCTCATTCTTCAGGATTTTAGCATTCTTTGTTGCAAGGACTTTGTTTGGCATATTTAGCTGTTCAACCAACAGTGCACGTGATGTAACTTATAAGGAAACCTTTCATAGAATACAATTCACATCCCCTTCACTGGATTAGACTTGTTTCTGATCCCCTCGGCTCCAACAAGCCATTTGCGAGTTAAATTTGAATAAAATCTGGTACACTGAGTTATCCGATTGCACATAAACACAACAATTTGAATCCTCCAGACTTAAGACACTGTTGCTATACCTCGTGATTTGGGGCAAGCTTTTGCATAGCGACCACCATCTGTGGAATGGACTGGTTCCTTTGTGCCCTTTTAATCCATTGAGAACAGTATATTGTTGCAAGGCGTCTCTTATGTAGTTAAGCAAAAGCTTGCCCCGAATCACGAGGATATATGCAGCAAGGTATGAGACGGAGAGAAACCCCCCTGCTTTGTGTTGGTCATTGTCTCGCAGGAATCTGGGGAATTCCTTTCAGACATCTTGGGGGGGATGTGTTAAGTAACAATAGTCTGGAATGTGTATAGGGATTGGGCACGGTGGGGGGGGTACCCCTCGGTCTCATTTCTTGCTGGGTGTACATGAGGTATAGCAACAGTGGTTTTAGTATGGAGAATTCCAATTGTTATGTTCACGTGAATTTAGAACTCAGTGTACCAGATTTTATTTAAATTTAACTCACAAAAGGCTTATTGGTGTCTTTTACTCGGCTAGTCAAACGTCAAACACTTGCCTCTCAGACAGTCTGGCCTGTTCTCTTGTCGGGAATCTTTTTTGAAACTCATTAAAGTGTTTCAGCTGAGACTGACAATATTATTTATCTCACCTGTGCTTCTCGGAGTAAAATCCCCCAAGCGTCTGTGTCATATTTGTACATCTCAATTTTCTTATGTGCTTTTTTCACCTTTTCAGGGATGTACCCCCAGCCCTGTGAATCAAAGAATATTGGAATACTAACTTTAATTACATGTATAAAATACAAATGTAGAAGTGTGTTAAATGCAATAAAATACATATAACTCAAAATGGCTCCACTGACATGGTTTAATATTTTTCTTTCCCTAAACTGCCGGTTGGAATGATGCTGATCACATTTTCTGCAAATGTACTGGCAAAAAGACGAGACTGCAGGCACCTGAACATGTAAACAAAATTTTCTACAAAATAAATAATGAGCTCCTTTTTTTCCCCACAATTTTGGATGGCTGGTCCAACAGCTATTACATGTACATGTACTTAGCAATTTTGAATATGGATCAACAAGAATTGCTGGAATTCTGCATATAGACAGAAGTAAGTTTTGAAGATCACTTCTAAATCCTAGAGTGTGAAATTACGGTTGGACATTAGACGTGAAATTGGCCCATAATTATTTGCACATCGTAAAACGTAGGTCATGCCATTAACGAATGTTCAATTTTCCCATGGTAGTCCATGCATGACACATAACCTGGGTACCAGGCAATATTGAACCAGTAGTGGTTGGCTGCATTTGCGCGGTTCCTCCAGTTCAATCGAGTATGGCTTATACGCATTATATTTCTGTATGTGCGATGGGAGTATACCCTTGTTGATGACCCATGGGTCTTACTCCTGCCGAACACGAGTAGCTCGCTCGAACGCAGCCCTTAGTCATAGCTCAACTGTGCTCTGAGTCCGACTGTTTCCCAATCCCCATAGTCTGAACAAAAATAATAAAAGGGTCAGGAACCCCAAGTCTACCTTTATACAATATGGCAGATCAACAGCTGGTAATGGCAGAGCAAAATTGATTGTCTTATGACATTTTGTCTGAGCACTTTTTTGGTCTAATTATGCACTCTGAAATCCCATGGTGTGCTGGAAGGTACAGTGCATGGGTGCCATCTAGACCCAGTAACGAGACCTGTATTTATCTTTTTTCAAAGTTTCACTTGGGGGCCCAGTGAATTGGCCACTTATTTTGTCAGCTCCTGGATCTTTACAAATGCAAATGAGAGAATAGTCAACTGCCCTGGGCAATAAACCTTTTCAGCGTTCACAAGGATGACAAACAAGCAATGCATTTTATGCACAACCCTATGGGAGAAGCACACCCATAAAACGTTACTGTTTCCATTTTATTTCATACTCCAATTCAAGCTATCCTCTTCTCACAGAGTGTTGCATTATTTGGGATAAAGATGTTCACAAATTTCAAATTTTAAAGCTTACAAGAAACAAAAAATTTTGGTAACCCCTCATAAGACCACTAGTTTTTGTCATCCACCATGCTTGAACTAAGACTGTGGATATTAAGGAGCAACAGTATTGGCCAATCAGAATTACAACTTGTAGCTCATTTATCCTGCATTGACCAATCAGGTTCGTTTTTCAGCCCAGAGTGACTGGCGCTCTTAAAAAAAGACAATTAAGATTGATTTTTTTCTTCGTATAAGCATCCACAAATTTATTTGCTATTTTGAAAATGTCTCTTGTCCACTACGCATGCATCTGTGAAGTGATGAAGGTACAGACAAATTTATTCTGAAAAAAACTGTGAATTGATTTCTGACTGGTTCACTTCCTGACTGGTTTATGAATAAAAAGCATGTCTTACTTGTCATCCATACTACACTGCAAACGTTGAACAGCTTACATGTACATGTACATTGTAATTCCATGTGAAACTTCAACTTTGGTCTCACTAGGCTATTAATAGCCTAAATTTTTAACATGTTTAATTGTAATTTACAAAAAAAAAGAAATTTCACTCACACAAATAAACAAGTGGAATTAAAAGTAATTATACTACGTTTTACAAAAAGGGAAAGAGTTCCTGGGCTAGGTAAAATGCATGTGGCAAACTTTGTTGAACAGCACTATCGATTTTGTACTCAGCCTCATTTTCATTTTTTTACTGGTCCGATTTTAAAGCTCCAGCATGACCGTGTTGGTATTTCCCCATGTCTGAAAATAATCAAAATTATGTAGCACCACCTTTTCTATGACGTTTTCTATTATTTACATGAAATACACTAGGTTTGAATACTTCATGTAGTTACAGGTCGGCCATTTTATTTTGTCCAGAAAATATTTCTGAAAAATCAGTAAAAATTCACTCCTCTCAACGGGGTCAAATATCGCATCAGAACGGTCGTCAAAACCTTCGATAATTTTATCAAAGATGACTTTGGACTTTCTCTTTTCTATGATTGTATATTTTTTTAGTTGATTTGTGAAATTTGATGGGATTTTATCGATCAGCACAATGTTTTTTTCGGCCTACGAATGTTTGAAAAAATTGTATCACTGCACTTTTATTAGGATGTGACCTGAATACCACTTTCTGATTGGCTAAGAGTCTGTCATCAGCTCTTCTCAGCTGTAAGACTTGTTTTTCTGATATCTAATGAACATGGACTTTAAAGGAATAATAAAGCCATCATTATCATATATTTTTGTGAAGATTTATATACTTTGTTCTTTTTTCAGTCTTTTCTTTAGAATTTTTTTTATTATTTATATCATGCTTTTGAAAACCTGAAAGGAATTTTTGCTTTTCGGTCACAATCCATTCCATTCCTATTGCCTGTACAAGACAAAGTAATGGCCCTAGCTCATGTCTCTTTTTCTCTATAACTTTTTTATTATTTGTCAGAGAAGGGTCATCTTGGTGTCATTGGAACGGCTTTTTTCAAGACCTTTCCAACGTTATACATTGCAGTCGCATTTAACAACTATGAATCTTTTTTACCACATATATGTACCTACATATACGGACAACATTAGATCCCCTCTGTGCACAAACCTATGAGACTTGTTTTCTAAGTAAATGCTTTGGACTCTTGACAGGTAAATTTCACTTTTAGGACGTTATCACTTTCCGATGGCCGTTATAACATCTAAGGGAAAATCAGTGTTGTCTGTTTATGGAACTCTTTAGACAAAAAGTAATACACCTTAAGTAGGGGCCTGGAAATGTTTTTCAAAATACTCTTTAATGTTAATTACTTACGACATGTACATAAAGTTCAAGTTCAACAACAAAATGATACCTTGTCAGGATCCATCAACCCAAAGATTCACACATCTGAAGGCCCCACTTACCGATGCCTTCGTTTTAATGAAAATAAAGGAACGAACCGTGATCTCTTTTCTTGTGTCTTAATTTATTTCATTTTTTTAAACTGGTAAGGGCCACACTGGCAGTGGTAAGTTATTATAGCCTCACATTTTTATACACAATAATAAACCATCATGAAAAAATGGGCTCAGAGGAACCTGACCTCAAAAGGTCAACTTGAATAAACTCTGCACAAAATCTGCTGATGAAAGACCATTCTGGCATCAGTTTGCATCACTGTCCAATCCGATTGGGTCATTTTAGTTAAGTAACTTCACGTGGTGCACTTTATTTTTTGCCTCTTGTGTCTACGTCTTACCGTAGCAATATTTTTACCTCAAATTTCACAATCAGTAAAACTTCATCAAACTCCTATTGCTCTGATTCATAAATCTCAATTTTGTGTATCAGCAAAAAACTTCAGATGAAATATTATTTCCGGCCGATTTTCCACATTTTTTTCGTAGGCCTACAACAAACAAAATGAATGCTTAGTTTTAGAACTATCCTAAAATTAAAAACCATGAAAATAATTTTCTAATAACACGCTCGTGGACATAGTGGATGGGTAGGTGAGGAGAGGGAGTGATGCTTTACAACATGTACAAGTAAATACTTTAAACATGTTAACGAATTTTGAGGTTTTTTCAAGTGCGCCACGTTTTTTTAGGGAGTCTACAAATTGCAATGAAGCCGGCCCAAATTCCGGACAAGATGTAGGCCTAGGCCTGCCATAATTTTGGTCCGAGTAACCATGGAGTAACGTTGGTCTTACTATTAAAAAAAATTGGCATTTTTTAAAGAAATGAAATTGAATGCTCAAAGTACTTTAATCACATACCGTGAAGAGCTCTGACCTAGGCTCTGAAGCCATTCGAATAAGTTGAAGAATGGGCCTATACAATGAAATTTAAAACGAGAGTAGGCCTACATAAAATACTCTGCACACAAGCTAAGCCCCGCGAAGCTCGAAGAATCATGACGCGTGTGATGTAAAGTTGTGAAGTCCCGGATGTCATTAATGTAAAATAATAATTGCAGAGGGCGCTGTTTCGGTCGCACGCAGACCACAGACATGTCTAGAGCTAGGTCCAAGTCTTCGCTCCATTGGAAATGCGTGGAGACGCGTAGACAATAGACCTAGCCGTAGCTCTGGAAGCCCGTTTTGGACACGGCCTCAGACGTAGACGTGCGCGCATGCTGGGCACGGGAGGTTCACATATTTGCGCATGCGCGGAGGTATTCTGTCCAGATCAATCTGCATGTAGATCTTTCACATTGGTTCACAGTAAATCTGAACAGATTTACTACGGAGAGGCTGCATTTACAATTACACATTTAATTTTGGTAAGTAAATTCTGCCTTTGCTGCAAAATTCCACCACGTCATTGTTTATTTTATATACGGACGCCAGTAATTATTCCCTGAGTAACGTTAGAGTTACACCGGGCCTCCAGTGACTACCCTCCTCTGGGCCTAGAACCATGGCAAAAACATGTCAAGAAAAGTTAGTTTGCAATGCATGCATGATCATGATGCTAATGCTGACAAACATGCAATGCATTTTATGCACAACCCTATGGGAGAAGTGTACCTGCGAAACGTTAATCTGTTTTCATTTTATTTCCTACTCCAATTAAAGCCATGCATAAATTACATTGCATGTAGGCTTGTTGTAGCCTAGGCCTATATCATCCAAACCCACAATGCATTGCGAACGTCAAAAAGGTTTATTACAGTCAACACACCGTCAACTCCTCGCAAATACAAGTTCAATCGACAGAAGAGGCAATAGAGTGTAATTATTGGACTGAAAGAGACTTTCCAGTACAGTAGCCTAGTTGGGGGTCACAAATCAATTTTCAAAATGGAATTTTTCACACCAACAAAAATTGTCTCTGGCAGCGTAGTCGTTCGCCGCCATCTTGCCTCCTCATGGAGCTTGGAGGACTGCAAAATTAAAACGGCAATTTTCGAGAGTCTAACCTGTTGATTTTTAGGCAAAATGTCCTTTTGGCAAACATTTTACTGTTTAATACCGCTTCTTTTGATTTTTAACATGTTTTGGAGGTGTTGACGCTGTGTTGATAGTGTGTTGACAGTCTGTTGCATGTTGACAGTGTGTTGGGTTATTAGTATGACCGGTCCCCAGTCCCAACTATCAACCAGGGCACAGGCGCCCTGCCCAACTACATGTACAGCACAGAGATCCAGTGTGCATGTGCCCAGCGTGTGCCAAAAATGTCATGTCATGTACAGTGTCATGTCATGAATTATGTCCAGTGTGAGATGCATAAACTTGGATAAAGTTGAGAAATTTTCTGCAGAAATTGGTCCGCAATAGTTGGGCCAGCCCAACTGCAGCACAACATCTGGGACTGTCCCAGCTACAGTTTGGATAGACATGTAGTTGGGGCATAACAAAGATATTCACAAACTTCAAAGTTTAAAGCTTGGCAGAAAAGGAAAATTCGAAGAATCCCTTCCAACAGCATCACCTCTTTTGGTCATTAACCATGCTTTGACCAAGATCATGAATATTAATGCTCTAGTATCGTCCAATCTAAATCATGACTTGTACATGTAGCTCATTCGTCCCGCGTTGACCAGTCACGTTCATTTTCAGCCTGTAGAGTGACTGGTGCCCTAAAGAAAAAAAGACAAAAGTTAAGGGTGATTTCTTCGGACAAACATTTGAAATCTTATTAGAAAATGTTTCTGGTGTATGCATCTGTGAGTTGATGAGCAGATACTGGTACATAAAAACTGTTTTGTAGAAAACTGTGAATTGATTTCTGACAGGTTCACTTCTTAGGGTTGTGCATAAAATACATTGCTTGTTTGTCATCCAAACCCATGATATATGCAATCATACCTATGAAGCCAGACCTCGGTGTTTGTGTTTGTATTGCACATGTTCAGTGTGTGTTAGACTTGCGTTGCAGCCGTTCATTGGTATATCAATGGGGAGTCGGGTTGGCACAGTGGTTCTTTCCTCGCCTTCCACCTCTGCGGTCCCGGTTCGATTCCCGGCTCAGTCCACATGTGGATCGGGTTTTCAGTTCCTACCTGATTCGGTGGGTTTTACCCAGAATATTCCACTGGGGTTTTCCTCCTACCTCTAAAACTGTAACTGCTTCTCATTGTCTCCTCTCTACATGTTTCTTCAGGCTTCTACAGTGCCTAGGGCGCTTTAGAGGAATCCTTGGTGTCATTACCAGAAATAAATAATAATAACAGTAAAAACACTGTCAACTTACAAGTACATGTACATGTATGTGAATTGCGTTAGTCAAGCGGTTACAGCATAATGGTTTGTGATGAACGGGGTGTGGGTTTCGAATCCTGGGTCGAAATTGTGGACAGGGAAGTTTGGTTTTTTTTCAGGAAAATAAAGCGCGAATATTATAGGAGCCTAATTTCACATGTGAAGTTTTTATGGTTGGTTCAGCATCATTGATGTCATACATTGTGCATGGTTGTGAATCGTGGTTTGGCTTCATACGTGTGATTGCATATATACATGTACACAGAAAACACTTAGAATTTTTCAGACCAGTCTCATATGGTTTGTTCACAGGGTGTGATGTGGCATCAGTATATAGAACTTTATTTCATTATTTTCAATGTTAACTACGTCATAAATTCAACCATTTGAGGAAAAGATGTTGGGAAAAAATTCTATCACTTGACCAGTGGCAGTTAAAATGGTTGACTGCTTGTGCAAAAACTCGGTGAGTCATTGAGTGTGAGACTGGGGTGAAAAACTTTGTCTATTTAAACGTTATAGGATAAGTGTGGGTATACTCGATGAGGCTGAGAATCTGACCGGTGAAATTTATCATTGTATAAAATTCTTTGTAACCAAAACAAACCTGCATTGTGACCTTCATCATCCACCCCATCTACGAACATGATAATTAGTAGGTTGATTAGAAAAACCAGACCGTTCGCTCAGCTTCTCTATGAAAATGTGAAATCGAGAACTAAAAATCGTGTCGGAACTTAAGGTGCATTGAACTACCGGTACATGTAAATGGGTAGATTTCTAGATGTGAGCTCATTAATATTTTGTGATCCCATTTGGTTTTTGTAATAAGAGGTGCCTACCCCAAGGACTGCGGGATCTGACATCCGCCCCGGATCCCAAAGTTCTTGGGGTGAAAGGTGCCATCACTGGGAGGGATCATAAAGACATGTATAAATCACGAATTTGGGACTTTTGGTGCCCATTTTGGCATTATTTATTAAAAAAACCTTCAATCCCTGGGCCTATTTTGCATAGAGGCGGACAAATACATTTGAGACTTGAGTGCACAGTTCTACTCCTATTTTGGGGGTGTTGTTGGCGAAAGGTGAATGAAAAAAATCACGAGGCCAACCCCTATAAACTTGAAGAAAAGTGAAATTCTGGCCATAATTTTGAATTTTCAAAGAATAGCGGAAGGTCAACCTCTCCCTGAGAGTCACCAGACGGCGCTGTTTCTGTCCAATTTTGCACTGTTTCCTATGGACATGGACATGTATATAGTATTGTGCAACCATAAGACGTTGACCACCACCAGTTGCTATGGTATCCTGTCAGAGCATGGAATCACCTGGGGACCTCCTTTTATTGACTTTTTTAGGGACTGGCGGTGAAAAAGTGATAATTGCCAATTTTTTTCAGTCTTCATTCATCAGTTTGTTATCAACTTCATTCCCCTGGGTACGATCTTGCCGTGCCGTGTTGGTTCCGACCATACCATTACCTTGCGCAATTAAGCCCTGGTGTTATAGAATTGAACTATCCCACTATTTTTAGATCAGGCCTTCAGTCATTGTGTTAATGCCCAATGCATATTCATGCGGGCAAGACCTACAGGTGAATACGTGGGCCCCAGCGTGTATTTTTTTGAAATACCGGTTGGCGTGCCTTTACGTTTATGTACATTCATCCTGAATAGCCATTCAGCGTCTTCTTCGAAATGTACATTGTACATACCTGTACAATGTACATGACCAGGGGCTAGTGGAAGAATATGCATGCAGCCCATGGAGTTGATGTTCGTTTGTTATACCGATGGTCCAACTGAGCGTGTTGATTGGATGAATTGGCGGCTGGCTATAAATAAACCACGTCAACAGAGGGCGCTGTTCGGAGAATTTGGTCTTGCTACCGGTACTTACGCGTCAGGGATAATTCAGTCGTTCTTAATGTAGCAATTGACAGAGGGTTACAATAATAGGAAAACGTATTTCAAGGCTTTTAAAAATGCTTGTTGTAATAGTACATGTATAACCTTTGACAATATAACAGTAATTTGCCGTGCATTTTTTAAATTGAAGTATTGCCCAATGAAAGTTCCAACAGGACATTTTATTTTTGCCCCAAGTCGAATGAAAAATACAAATGCAATACAAAATCTGAAAATACAATGTTAAGCCTAAAATACAAAAGGAACTACAAATACAAGAACAATTAATCAATTTAACCTAACCCATATTTCTAGTAAATAAGTTGAATTTTGCAGAAGCTGAATCCAATGCTGAAGTGTTAAAAGTGCCATATGACCTGAATTCAGCAAAATCCTTCATTAAAACCTAAAAGCTACTGGGTATAACTGCCTGAATCCTCCAAAATCTTCCAGTGTGGTTTATGACCAGTGTTATACCAAACAATGAAAAAGGCAAGAACGTCTCAGTTTGACATTTAAAAAAAAATAATGTAGCTTCAGAAAATAACTGAGATTCTGAAGTGTAAATCTTACACATTATGCTGACACCGTAAATAATCAATACACATTGACCACACCACTGTTGAAAATCACCCCCTCCATTGACAGCTGGCATTCACCAGCTCTCAACCCCCCCCCCCCAATGCATTGGGGTCACTTGCCCAGTCTCACCCTGCATGGGCAGTACAGGGCCAGTCATAAGTCACTGTCCTCGGTCACTGTGTAAATACTGTAACATCTGATTTGCATTTATGCATTTGGGGGTGTCTAATTTCCCAGCAGGTGTACATGTAAATGATGTAAGAGTACACTTCTGAAGGTCAGTGTACGCTAACTAAAACTCTGTGGAGAATACATGATGTACACGCACATGTATGTACATGTACGAACATGTACCGGCACAGGTGGCCTGACAAGTGTAGAATTATGAAGTACATGTACATGTAAAAATTATTCCTCCATGATGTAACAACCTGAATCTTCCAAAACCATCTTTTAGCATACATGTAAGTCCCAGGTAACCTTAATCCTCCAAAATTCTCATTTGGTTCATTGAGCTTAGTAACCTGTATCCATATTCCTGCAGGGGCGAAAACCCTTGGTAACCTCAATCCTACAAAGTGCTCCAAT